ATCTTATGTATGTATAATTTTATATTTTATGTGTAGCAGTGTTCAATCTTGTTGGTTAGGGCACAATTCCGTCTTTTCTGTATTCCATTTATTTTCATTTATTTTTCTTTCTCTGTTCAAGTAGAATGTAGAAAGTATCTTAGGGTGAGGGCAGGCTCGAGACTCCAGAATGCTCAGAGGTACATTACAAAATGTAAACGTCACTAACCTAACAAGCATCCAGAGCTAGGGGGTTTGTTGTCACCTAGGTACAAATACCAGAATTACTATGTATGTAGTTTAAGTCATGCATAAATGCCTGCATTACATAATGTGGGTTTAAACGCCACTTCACTCCTGAAGAAGCACATTTTAAAACCACACTGTAAGCTTTTAAAGAAGCCTTCGCTCACAAGGGTTGTGCAAGAATTTAGGAGTGGGGGAGTGTGGCAACGCGGCAACATTGCCTTGTCAAGGGTCGCATATAAATAGCGGACGTACAGACGTCTCTCGCTTTTGGTAGCATTGAAATAACCTAATAAACAAGTATTGTGTAATCTATGTGCTCTGTCCATAACCGACGCGAAATAAAGCAGTATTATACGAAAGTGTTCGGACTCTCATTTAGCCTTAACCCCCAAGATATCACACACAGTCGAAAGTTTTGGAGAAATCACAGAAAATTGAGGCTGTATAGTGGTGGCAGTTCAGGCTGGAGAATACATTATTGAAAAGGGAAAACATTGCATCATTAGTACATTTGTTACTTAGGAAACCGAATTGACTGGTAGTTAGAATATTATATTTAGAGAGAAATGATAGAAGCCTCTTTTTAACCAATCTTTCTATGATATTTGATAGCGTAGGAAGGAGTGCAATGGGGCGATAGTTTGAAGGTAGCTCCTTATCACCTCCCTTATGCAGTGGGATAATTATCGCCATCTTAAGACAGTTTGGAAAAGCTCCATTTAGAAACGACTTGTTGATCAGAGTAGTAAGATGTTTTAATGTACAATCAGGAAGATTAGAGAACATTTTGAGGGTGAGTCCATCAGTCCCAGATGAAGATTTGTTTTTAATATCTTTGATTGTACTGCGAAGCTCTGGAACTACTACAGGCGTGAAGAAGAAACTGTGTAAGTTCACCTTAGCATTCGGGAGATATGAAAGTGGGTCCTGGGAAGGAGTTGAGGTATTCACTAAATTCTTAGCCACATCAACAAAGTAATCGTTAAGGATCTCAGGTGAAGTAGGAATTTTGCTAGATGAAGAAGCCTTATTCCTCAAGTCATTAACAATTGACCATGTTTCTTTTGCAACATTTTTGGAGTTTGCCAGCCTCCTATTATAATAAATGTCTTTGGCGGCTTTTATGGTTTTCTGATAGACTTTTCGGTATAATTTTACGTAATCATTGAAGAAGACGCTATCCGAGAATTTTTTTAGATGAGACAAGGATCGCATATTTTTTCCAGAAGTACGCAAGCCACTAGTGGACCATGGTTTATGCCGTTTGACTTTGATGGGTCTGAGAGGAAAGGATTTAGTCGCCAGGTCAGATAGGGTATTTATGAATCTAGAGTCAACATCATCTGAGTGGACGACCCAGTCAACTGATAAGCAAAGTTGACTGAAATTTAAAAAATTTCCATCCGAAAATATTCTGCCCAATTTGCGGGAAGCACCCTTACGTAAGGAATTCAATGAGAAATTCGTTAATACTGCTTCGTGGTCAGAAAACCCTGCACTAAAAATAGAACAGTTGACCAATTCTGGATCAAAAGATGAAGCGACATAGTCAATGGAAGTAGAACTAGTTTTGGTTATTCTGGTTGGAGAGTTTACATGCATCACAATCCCAAAGGAGTCGAAAATGGGCTGGAGAGATTCTTGAGCAGCGCACATACAGGAAAAATTTATATTATAGTCACCACATAAAATTATTTTGCAATTCAAGGGCAAGGAGTCAAGCAAGCTCAGCAAATTCCGACAAAACATGTGCGCGTCTGTGTCGGGTGATCGATATAAACAAACAATATAAAGGTCAAAGCCACTATGATAGACGATGGAAAATTCAAATATTTTTTCCGATAATAAATTATCAAATTTGGTTATTGCCGTAAAGTCATTATTAGTGGACATTATCATAGTGCCTCCGTGAGATAAATTACTTCGATTAAATCTAGCTATTGATTCATAGTAGGATTATTTGGTAAAAAGAATACTATTCTTTTTTAGTTTGGAAATGATTTTATTATTTCTTTCCGAATATTATTATTATTGGAGTATTTGAAGATTATATGATTATTAAATAAATTGGCGTGTTTCTTTGTGTAGGGTGCTCAAGGGGTGCTCCTAACACAGGTGATGTGTGTATAAGTTTGTGTCCGGATGTTGTAAAATTGGGTCGTTCATCAATATATTTTTGCATGTCTCAAAACTTCACACAAATTCTGCATCATATTTAATTTTCTCATCTTCCTTTTAAACATGTTAATGGGAAAGTTTTCTATAAATTTCCTATAATATCCAACTAATCCTAGAAATTATTTCATCTCTTTCTTAATTTTCGGAATTGGAAAGTTTTTTATCGCCATCAATTTTTTTGAGTTTGGTTTTGTTCCGTTCGGGGTAATTATATGACCTAAGAATTTTACAGTTTCATGAAGAAACTCTGATTTATCGTGCTGAATCTTCAGGTTATACTTTTCTAATTTTTTAAATACTCTTTTCAAATTCTTTATAGGTTCTTATAATGATGTGGAAAATATAAATATATTGACCATATACACCAAGCATATTTTTTTCTGTAGTCCTGCTAATATGTTGTCCATAGCTCTTTGACTTTGGAATGTTGCAGGTGCATTTGAATGCCAAATGGCATTCGTTTAAACTCATAATGAACGTTTTCTACGTTAAATACTGTTTTTGGTATTAAATCAGGGTGCATTTCAATTTGATGAAATCCGAGTGTTGTGAAAAATAGATGCTTCTCTCTAAACTGTCAAGTTTATCAGTTATGTTTGGTAACGGATATCTATCGTCAATTATTGTCTTCTCATTTATTTTCCGGTAATCAACTACCATTTTCCATTATTAGGTACCAGAGGCATCTTTTTTTTTCCGGCACAATCCGTACTGGTGATGCATGAAGGTTAAATAATATTATCTTCTAACATTTTCGCAATTTATTTATTCACTTCTGTATTGTGAATAAAAGGATAGCGATATGTTTTTGTATGTATCGGAGTCTCGTTATGAGTTTTCATTTGATGTTTAACTTAATTTGTGAAAGTTAGTTTATCTTTTGGTTTTTTGAATATTTTAGGAAAAGCTTTTACTTTGGGCTAATGTTGCTGGTATAACATAAGCATCTTTGTTTACTTATGGGGTCAAGATTAACGCACTCTGGAGAATCAAAATTCAAAAATCCGCACGACTGCGCTTATTATGTGTTCATATATTGTATCTCGGTATCCAAACCTAACTTTTGTACCCAAGTTTTCTGAAGTAATTTAAATACAATGTAGTTCAAGTAATAAATTCAATGGGATCAAAGAGCTTATGAGCTGAAGACAAAACTATCCATTTTGTTACCTTTCATAAGTTGAGATATCTGAACTGTTCTAAAGAAATTTTGTAATCTTGACATTTGTTCCACAACTTTTCATAACTGCTTCTTTCTGAAGAATTTCTTTCTTCTTTCTCCCGCACCCTCTATGATCCATTTTGCCTTCCTTCTCTAGCCTGTAATCAAGTATTCGTTCGTGCAACTCAGATCCTTTTCTCAAAATTAGATCAGAAAATAGTTAGTTCATAAGCAGCTCTTATTTTCTCATGCCCTATGTTTTGGTATGTATTCCTTTGTGTTATTTCATGTATTCCTTTGTATTCTCATATATTCTTACGTAGGTATTCCTTTGTAAACTCTAAACTTTTAAATTTTTGATTTCTTTTATTAAACGAAAACATACAAAAAATTCATTTTGAAAAAAAAAAAAAACATTAGAAAGAGCCAGGAGTAAAAATTAAAAAACAAATTAAAAGCCTCCGAGCAAGAACCAAAAGAAAATTCAGAATTTAAAATAAGGAAATAAGGAGCCTGGAATAGGAAAAATTATGAAAATTCGAGAATTTGAATTAAAATAACAACATTTTTCTGCTGTAAAGTACCTATTTTGGAATGTTATAGATGGCTTATTGAAGTTCTAAAGTGTTCTAACTTGGCTTGTAGAGTTCTGGAGCATTTAAGATGTTTTTCAATAATTTCTAAATTGTTCTGACAAATTTTTAAGTATTTATAGAGCCCTATATTGAAGCTAAAAAGTGTTCCAAATTGATTCAAAAAAGTTCTTAAAGCTTTCTAAAATAACTTTGAAGTTTCTCAATTGTTCCAAAATGCTCCAGAAAATTCTGATTTGAATTGTTTTGGATGTTCATTAAAGTTTTACAGCAATCTTAATTCCCTCTTAAAAGCCTTCTGAAAGGTGTTTTGTGTTTTGTAACTTTTAACCTGAATCCTAAGATTCTGGCGATTTTTGATATATTTCTGCAGATTCTAGAGTGTTTTGGAGCGTCCTAAAATGAGTTTGAAACTTTCGCATTGTTCTAAAATGCTTTTGAAAATTGTAAATCGGTTTTTGAATGTTTTAGTGCATTCTAAAATGGTTCTGAAATTTTCACAATGTTCTGAAGGAAACACTTCAGAATGCTTTTGGAAATTCTGAAATGAATTTTAAGTGTTTTGAACTTTCCAAAAGGCTTGTTTTATCCTCTGGATTATTTGCAATACATATTTTTGAAAATATGAATCAGTCTATGCATTGAAGTGAATTTTAAAAATCAATTTTTGATTATTCCCGGCTCTTGATTTGAATCAAGAGTTGCAAATAAATAAAATTTTCGGTTGAAAAGAACCTCAACTTTCTCTCAATCTGCCAAATTTCAAATTTGATGTTTCGTATTCTACATAGTGGAAATTTATTTCAAATACATAATAATATGTAGAAGAAAGTTCTCACCTGAAGCTCCGCCAGTAACAATAGCAGTCTTCCCGACCAGACAAACGTTACATTTGCACCAAAAGTTCCAATTTTTAAACAAAACCATACAAATTACACTCGAAATTGCAATTAACACCATCATACACAATTCCATTATTGAATTTAGAAAAAAAAAAACTGAACTTTCACTGATGAAAACCGATTGGATAATAATATCGCACAATGGCCAAATTAGATCAATATTTATACGTACGTGATTCTAATTATCTTACTACTTATGTATGTCCAGACCAGACGAAAATTTATCGAATTGCGGAAATTAGTATATTTTTCGGCCACCGCACGCACGCACGAATGCGGAAATTTGGTACAATACTTTGTCAATTCTTTTACTATGTGACGCATTTTAACATAGGTAAATGATTACCTGTAAGTGTAATTAGTTATTGTGTTCCAAAAAGACTTGACACGTTTTTATTTAGGCTAATTGACTTAATTGGGCTTGCCTTACTGTTAAATTGGTTTTACTTAGTATTGTTTTATCCGGAGGTACTTATTCTTATTGGAAAAGGGTTTTTGGATTTACCCATTAAATATTTTGTTCATTTATAGATTAAGATTTTAGGGATTTTTAGTTTTTCATTCCATTTCAGAAGACTTCATAACCAACGTAGAATTTTCAAAATTATTTTAGAATGTGTACCTAGTTCTTTTTGAGTACCATATTCTATAGGAAGCTTAAGATATCTACTCTAAAGTATTTTGGAATGCTCCAGAACACTTTACAAGTAACTTGGAACGACTCTGGAATTAACTGAAAACTATCAGGGCTGTTATTCTCGTACTCGAAAACTCTCACCGCTTGAGTCACTTCTTTGGGATCAGTACCGAGTCGTCAGTTTAATTCAAATGAACTCAGAAATATTAAATATTCGCGTACAATGGATACTTAGCCTAACATCCTATTGACATTCAATTTCTCTAATCAAGGTGCTAATGTACCAGCACCGGCCTAATTATTGTTTTTTTTTTCTAATGCACCATAGGAACGACAACAAACAATGAAACCATTCAAAATTTTCACCAAATGTTGTCCGTGTCTAATTATAATTCCATTTCCATCATTTTTTTTTCAATCATCTTCGAATAATGACCGATTACGTCCAACGGGCGCTGATGGCGCTCGGTACGGTTTTCGCAAACAGATTGGTAAATTCCAGAGTAAGATCCCTGGTAAGTACCACTTTTTCTTGACACTCAGAAGTGACATTTTGAAATTTTCTAGCCTGCACTTGCAGCCCCATTATATTTGCCCGAAATTCCCACAATACAAGTAGCTTTGGGCCTTTCTTCAAGCATAGCTTTCCTTTATTATCAGCTCCGAAACGGTAATATGGTCAATGTCAGTTCGATTGTCAGCAATTCCAGGCCACAGTAAGAATCAAAATTCTTAAAAAACTCAACTAATCAATATTTCTAACTCAGAAGTTCCTGGTTTATTCGCAACTTGAACTTGTACAGACGCCGGTGTGCGTCGGCTGTTAAAAGAATTCTGGCCCCCAATGACTCATTGGAGTTGCTCAGAAGCGAAACGAGAACCCGCTCAGTAAACACATTTGATTCAGCCCAAGAATTGAGGCTCAGAGATTCGCGAAATAGACGGACAATAAAAAGAAGAGGCCGAAGCAGGAGGCGCAGAAGACCAATATTGGGTGTCACTAGAGTAAGGCGAGCGGATATTGGGCGACTTTGTGGTGCAGATACAAGGCAAATTGTTCAATAATAATTGATTAATTGAATTTTAAATTTTTTTGGTTTTTGAAGTTTGGAGCTTAGGCCTCGGTCTGAGCAAGCAACGGAAACAACGTTACCGATAGAAGTTAAAAGGAAATTTCTCAAAAATAAAGCTCAGCAAGTGGCAGGCATTACGATACCGATCGGGGCTGGTGGAGGTATTGCCAGGAAAACTAGGAGCGGGAAAATTTACGGGTGTAGTTAACGAAATTAAAAATATAGATTTTTTTTTTGCGAGTTGTTTTTTTGTATTGTGTAAATAACATATTAGAGGACCGATAAAATAAACTTCAATTATTGAGAGAAAGTAAAGTTTTGAATGAAACCAGACCAAAAAGTTATCAGGACCTTTCAATAAACTTGAAAGTTTTCCTTTTCATTAATAATTTCCTAACTAATAGGGAATAATACTGACACACTATCCAGATTCTTATTTATCAAGTTGAACAATTTAGAATTATTATTAGAATTTCAAAGTTTTAGGCAAAAGTATCAAATGACAATAATTTATAATCAATAGAACATCTCCGACAAATTAAAATTATTATGACTTGAAATTTATAGAGTCCCTAGAGAACCCGTGAGAGCTCACGCCAATGTCCTTTCCCAAATCCCTCCAGTCCCTTGAGAGCCTCTATATGAGTTGATAATCGGAGAAAAATTTACTATTAGAAGAATATAAAACCTGCTATAGCAAAACAAGACAAATATTTTCCACTTGACACACAAATCCTACATAAATCAGACGACAAAAGGGCACGAGCGATTTTCGGAGCCGAGGCACGTGCCCGTACCACTCCAAAGGCACGTGCCCGAAAGATCATCGGCAAACGATGCCTTTTGTTCGGAACATTTGCTGGCCCTTTTTGGAATGCACCAGCTGCGGCCTAAGAGGGGATGTCAATTGACTAATTTTTAGATTGATTAGGTTTTGAATATTTTAGTGTACGGACACTTTTTGAGGATCCCAAGAAACTAATCTTCAGTCTACAGTGAGCTTGTCTAAAATACGGGAATAATGAGAGTTCAAGAACTTGGAAGGAAAAAATTTAGGAGCCAACCAGGCGCTAGGCTCTCTGAAATAATTCTGATTTTTTTAAATTGTTCTAAGCCTTTTAAAATAGTTCTGGAAAGTGTTTTGGAACATTCTAAATGGCTTATTGAAGTTCTAAAGTGTTCTAACTTGGCTTCAAGAGTTCTAGAGCATTCTAGAAGCTTTTGAGTAATTTCTAAATTGTTCTGACAGATATTTAAATGTTTTAGAACCCTATTGAAGCTCCAAAGTGTTCTAAATTGGTTCAAAAGAGTTCTAAAAGGTTTCCAGTTAAATTGAATCCTTATTATCTGAAATAACTCAGAAGTTTCTCAATTGTTCCAAAATGCTCCTGAAAATTTAGATTTGGATTTGAATTAATTTGGATGCTTATTCAAGATCTAAAGTTCTACAGTAATCTAAATCTGTAACTTTTAACCTGAATCCTATTCCTAAGATTCTAGCGCCTTTCAAAATGTTTCTGGAAATTCTAGAGTGTTTTGAGTGTTTTGGAGCGTCCTGAAATAGCTTCCAAACTCCTGAATGTTGTGAATGGCTACAAAATGCTTTTGGAAATTCTGAATTGAATTTTGTGTTCTGTAGCATTCTAAAGATTTCCAGTAACTTCTAAATTGAATGAGAAACGAAAATACGAACAAAAATTTTATGTGAACTTTACGTGAATGGCACAAATAATGTATATATTGGGTAGAAAATTAGTTTTGACGAAATAATAAACATCTAAAAATAGAAACATAACATTATAAGATTGCCCTAAAATTCTTAAATTGGTCTCAAATGGCCCTTTGTGGATGCAGTTTAGTTTAAGTTTAAGCTTCAGTAATTATTTCGGGGTAAAAAGTTCGGACATCGGATCACATTCAGAACCAATTCCAAATGGAACTGATTCATAATTTTGCCAGCTACTTAGTTCAGAATCGATCCTATTTGAATTAATTGTAAAACCTCTAGAACAGGTAGAACTAGTTCCGGAATCGATTCTAGTTAACAGCGAACAAAGAACACAATAATTCCGAATCAGTTCTGAATCCTTACCGACATTTTTTCGCGGATCACATTCCGAAACTGGTTCGGAACCAATTCAGAAATATCACTAAACTAATCAGTTCTGAGTCCTTACGGTTGATTGAGAACAATTCAGTTTGTTTTCGGTCCTAGAACAAGTTCTACCAATTCTAAAGATATATTATTCATGTTGAATGGTAAGGTTCACAGTATTCCATTTTTGTTCCGAAATGGTTCGCGGTTCAATAAAATCCTGAACCGGTTCATAATTAAATAGGTATGTAACAACTCTGAATTAGTTCCGAACCAGTTTCGGAATGTGAAATGATTCGCAACTTATACAGTTTTTTGTTCGCCTTTTCAACTAGAATCGGTTCCAGAACAAGTTCCGATTCTAGGAGTTTCACAATTTATGTAGCATCTTGAAGAGTATTCGATTTTTGTTCCGAAATGGTTCGCGGTTCCATAAAATCCTGAACTGATTTATAATAAGGCATACAACAACTCCTCTGAATTAATTCCGAACCAGTTTTAGAATGTGAACTGATTCGGAAGTATTCAGTTTTTTTTTCGCGGTTCAACTAGAATCGGTTCCAGAACAAGTTCCAATTCTAAGAATTTTACAACTCATGTAGGTAAAGAGTTCAGACTCTTTTTGTTCCGGATTGTTCGCTATAACTTAATTAGTTCATAATAAACTCAATTAAAATTCCCAACTAGTTTTGGAATGTGATCCGCGAACACAGCTCGGTAAGAATTCAGAGCTATTCTATTCTTTGTTCTCGGTTCTAGACCTAGATTCTAAGATATATTATTCATGTTGAATGTTCACAGTATTCGATTTTTGTTCCAAAATGGTTCGCAGTTCAATAAAATCCTGAACTGGTTCATAATTAGGCATGTGACAACTCTGAATTAGTTCCAATCCAGTTTCGAAAAGTTATAATCTGCGAAAAAGAGTCAGTAAAGATACAGAACTGATTCGGAACTATTCTGTTCTTTGTTCGCGGTTCAACTAGAGTCCGTTCTGAAACTAGTTCTGTTCAATTATTGACGCTACAATAAAAATCTCGCGTCTCAAATGTTTTGAAACATTTTTCGAAACTTGTTTTAAAACAGAATCACATGACGTCATAACGTCTCGGCGCGAGAAAATCGTTTGAAAACATGGATTGGATTGTATTTCGAAACTGTTTGAACCAATTTTGATGTGACGTCATAGGTTCATCGCGAGAATATAATGTTTCAAACCTGTTTTGAACCAGTTTCAAAAAAGTGAACTCGAGAAAACAGCTCTGAACTGGGTCTATAATTAGTGACATCCCTGAATTAATTCTGAACCCGTTTCGGAATGTGATCCGCGAATGAAGCTCAGTGCTCAGTAATTCAGAACTGACTCAGAACTATTCTGTTCTTTGTTCGCGATTCAACTAAAGTCAGTGCTGAAACTTATTCTACCGATTCTGAAGATTTTACAATTCAAATATGATGGTAAGATGTTCAGAGTAGGTATTCATTTCCTGTTCCAAAATTGTTCACGGCACAATAAAATTTTGAACTGGTTTTTGATTAGTGAAATTCTTGAATTAGTTCCGAACCAGTTTCGGAATGTGATCTGAACTCTTTTGTTCTTTGTTCGCGGTTCAACTAAAGTCTGCTCCGGAACTATTTCTACCGATTCTAGAGATTTTACAATTCAAATAGGATGGTAAGATGTTCAAAGTAGAATCGAAACTTGTTCTGGAACCAATTTTAGTTGTACTGCGAACAAAAACTAAATAGTTGCTAATCAGTTCACATTCCGAAACTTGTTCGGAACTAATTCAGAGTTGTCGCAAG